TATGGCTTGCATACATTTCATATTTACATAGAATATGTAATAAACTCTATATGTCCATCAATCTGTCTCTGTATCTTATTGACTCGTCTATAAACCATGCAATACAATATAAGAAATGAATAAATATAATTTTCTAAAATGTTACCAATTTTACTTTCCATGCAGTTAGTTATGTTTGCTATGGGAAATTTCTTCCCCTTATAAAAAAGTACCAATAACATACCGCTAAGGGATTTATATATAGATATGTATGTGTATGTATGTATATATATGTAAATAAACACATTTGCCGATACACTGTTTATATACCAATGTGCCCAAAAGTAATATGCTCGAGTTATTCGATTTTTTATTTGCCTCTCTCTCTATTCACTGGCAAGCGAATATGTAGAGTTCATTTGTTATAAAACTGTATTTATTTTAGGTAGATACAAACATGAATTCGTATGTATGTATGTATGTAGATACTTTATGCATATTAATGCATGCATGTTAATTTATGCTGTGGTATGTATATATACATATGCATATGTATCTATACATAAATCTGTATGCATAAACATGAATATATGTATACTTAAATACATACATATTTATGTACGTATGTGGGAAAAAATCAATTTCCGGTTCTTACCTTTTGTTGTGTAGTTTTTTAACTTAATTATATTTTGTTGGTATAGAATTTATTTCTGTATTAACATTTGTAGTTGGTTGCCATTTGAAAATAATCTTTGCCGTTTGCTTGCTTCCATATAAACTATATATATGATTATTTAACTGCACTACAGTAAAATTCAGGTTTACAGTTGTAATACATTTATTTACACAATTAGCGTCCAACAATTTGGCCAATGTCTCGCCATATTTCTTTATGCAATTATACACAGTATTTTCAACAATGATGCGGCTCTGCACTGCCAGTGCCAGTATAAAATTAAAGCATCACATTACCGACAACAAAAAAACGTCCTTTTATTGTTACAACAAAATAATAAAAACGACGCTTACTTTTAATTTTCGGCGCACGCACGTTCCAACCTCGCCGAGAATTTAAAGTTGCATGGCCAAGCTTGACATTCACAATGGTTTGCTGAGTCGGGTATCGTGCTCGTTAAACATGTTTGACAACAATACCACAGAGTATATCATATGACATTTTGGAGCAAGTGTAAGAATGCATGTCTGACAAAAAATTATATATTAATGATTTAGTTGTGCGTTTAAATACGTATATGCATATAAAATTTGGTATTGTATATCGAGGATTCAAGCAATTGAAGTGAGCTGCGTACCACGCATGGCTAGTGCTGTAAAACATCCAAAATACAGTGTTGAAGTAACTTGCATAGCAAAGTCCCGGCATTTTTGTCGCGTGTGGATATCTAAGATTATTAATATAAATATTAGATTATTAATATAAAGTAAAATAAGAAGCAACAATGGACAGTCCGCTGCAGCCCCAGCGCAGTCTGCTCCGTCAGCCTCTGAACAGTACGCAAAATAATCACACACACAATCTCTCCATAACCATGTTGCCGGAAGAGCAGGATTTGTTCAGGAACACCAGCTCAGGAGCCATGGGACTTCTATCTCGCATGCAGAATCGCACAACGCTTGGATTCGATGTGACTAGCATGAGCGGCGAAAGCACTCTGTTGACGGACAACGTCGATGTTGTAGATAACGGAGGCAATAAAGTAGACATACTCTTTGCGCACTTCTATGAGGTGCTACACACGCACAACACCACGAATGATACACTAGATGTGGTGCAAATGCTGGCACAGGCCTGCGAGCAAGTTGTCGAGCAACTGGAGCTAGAAATCGACCGTGGCATGGGCGGCAACCATGGTACAAAGCAGCGCGAGGCCACCGTCAAGTGGCTGAAGCAAGAGATTAACACCTGGCGTCTGCTCCACGCTCTGTATTATGACCGACTGTTGCTCCAAACCGATGCTCATGCGGATGACGAAATGCAGGACGGCCCATTGTTGGGCGGTAGCGAAAAGGAGGTAAGTCTGATCTGTACTTCATGTGTTCAATATTTAATATGAATATCTGTCTAATAGGTCATCCAGCAGCTGTACTCCATAAATGCGCAGCTACGTGAGTACCAAATGGTAGTGGATTGGCTGGAGAAGTGCTACGAGGAGAAGGATCAGGCGAATGCCCTCCAGAGTCACGACCGTATGATGGCCTGGGAGAACACACTCTTCCAGCTGGAGAATCTACAGGGAGCCGCCTTTGGTCGTGGCCATGAGATATGCAAACACTTGGATCCGGATGCGCCGGTGCGTGAGGGCAAGCCCCTGCACGCCCTGGACATGGAAGACAACGCTCGTCTGGGTCGCGCCATTTTTGCAGCCATACGCAGCGGGAACATCGACGAGGCGCTCAAGTTGTGCAAGCACTTTGGCCAGACTTGGCGGGCGGCCATCTTAGAGGGCTGGCGTCTGCACGAGGATCCCAACTTTGAGCAGCATGTGCCGGGCCAGCTCAATGAGAAATTGCCAATCGAAGGCAATCCTCGTCGCGACATTTGGAAGCGTTGTGCGTGGATGCTGGCCGACTCCAAGAAATACGATGAGTACACGCGCGCCACGGCGGGCGTCTTCTGCGGTCACCTAGGCGCGCTGAAGACGCTGCTGCACAACAACTGGCAGGATCTGCTCTGGGCATACATGAAGGTGCAGATAGACATCCGAGTCGAAAGCGAGATTCGCGGTTGTTGCATGAAGCGATATCAGCCCATGCCGGACGAGTACTGGAATGGCAAAATGACCCTGGAACAGATCTTCGATGAGCTGAGCGTGGCCAAGGATGTGTCTGTGCGCGACTATGCGCAGAGCCAACTGGGCGTTATCCAACAGCACATCATACTGGACACCTGCGGCGAGCTGTTGCAGCACATGTGTCGCTGGTTGGACGCCGTGCCCAAGGACTCGCAACTGCCGCCGCATCAGCTGCGCTTCATGGCGCACATTGTGCTCTTCATGCGCCAGATTGGCCGAGTGGAGCAGCAAGGACAGCTGCAGCAGGCCGAACGCATAATTGCCGCTTATGTAGATACGTTGATCAAGCGTGGAGATTCTCAGGCCATTGCCTACTATACGACGGGCTTGCCCAACAAGTTGCAGGTGCAGCTTTACGCAAAGTTCCTCACCAAAATCGATCAGAAGCGACAGCGGGAACAGGCGTTGGATGCGGCTGTGCAGGCAGGTCTGGATGTTGAGCAAATCACCCGTCATACGGTCGAGATCATACGACAGGAGAATGCTCCGGCCAGCGCGCTAGGCGAACCCCCAACTGGGTCCATTTCAGCAGTAGACAAACGTAAGATTCACTCACTCGAGTATCTCCTGCATTTGCTGGAGCAACGAGGTGAGCTGCTCTGGCAGGCAAATGCCATGATCCGTCAGTATCTGGCCTGCAGCAAGATCGAGTGTGTGCGTGAGGTGTTTACTCTGGTGCCCGCGGACGTGACGAACCAGTTGATCACGGTTTATGGCTCCCTGGATAACTTGGGACCCCGCGAGGAGTGCAGCCTGAAGGAGTTCCTCTGCTACAAGGTTTACCTGGCCGGTGTGGATAGCTTCAATGACTGGACGCGCCTGCAGCAGTCCCGGCCCCAACCACCGCAAAAGGACACACAGACCTCCGGCCCCACGCAGGACAATTTCACGGAGCGCATGAATGCGCAGCACAAGGAACAGACTTACATGTTGGAGCTTGCTCGCTGGGAGCAAAAGCTCATCGAACAATCCAAGAGTAAGATCCGTGCCCAATCCTATCCCAATAATCCCTAATCTCTCTGTTCCCCTGTAGTGACCACCGATGCCCTGTTTAATGTGCTGGTGTTTCCTGAAAAGGGCTGGCTTTGCGATCCTTTCATCCCGAAGGAGCCGGAGAATGCAACACAGCTGCATTGGGAGAACCGACTCATGCAGCTGGAGAAACTGCGCTCCATTTGTTTGCCAGAGATTGTGCTGTTGCTTCACGATGTATTAGCCAAGTCATTTGATTATACGGCCTGCATACGACTGGCGGATGAGATTGCCGACGAGCGTCGGCAGTTGTACAAGGTATTCACGAAACAGAAACTGGCCGAGGTGCTAGCCAAGATTGCCGACACATCGCTACAGCTGCTCAACAGCAAACTGGATCCCTGGGGTTACCCGATCACTGCCTAAATGGAATATATTCTGTTGTTTAAGAGAATGGTGCGCGAATGCCATTTAATATTATTATATATTTGTATTTGTAATTTTAAACATTTATTAGGGACTTTCACTTACAAAGCTAGGGCAACGGGGAAACGTTGGGAACAAATACGAGACACTACATCTAAGTACTGGCTTCGGTGGCCACCGGCTCTTCGCAACCGTTGCTGTGCTTCAGCAAGTACGAGGCTAGAAATTGTATGGGATCAGTGGGCCGCTCGCGAGCCAACGCCTGCAGACCGTGAAGCAAGACGGGCGCGACTGTCTGATCGAGATATTGGCGTGTGGGCAGAGCGCTGGGATCGGCCCGCGTCGCTGTTGGCGCGCTTGGCTTTTTTGCTGGCGGCGGCTGCTGAGCGGTGCTGGCTGTCGTAGCCGATACTGGTGCAGCTGCTGACGCTGCTGTTCCTGTACTGGAACTGGAATTGTTGACTGAGGCTGGTGCCGGGGCTGTCGTTGCTGCTGTTGGCGCCGAAGTTGATGGCGTTTGTGCATTGCTATTGGCAGTAGCTGCACTTGCGGCACCGCTGGCCTCTTTAGTAGGCTCCGCCGTTGGCGGTGGATTTGTTGTTGTTGCTGCCGAATCTGCGTTGGCTTCCATCGTTCCAATCTCTTTGATATTTCAATAAATCGAATTCAGATTTGTTGGCGTCGCAGGAGGTGAGTATTTGACTTGGTCATATGTTGAACCAATGCTCTCGATTAGAATGGTCACACTTATTCGTATTCTGTAACAAATGCATTATGAACGTAAGGGTTGTGCGATAATCGACCACGGGTGTAAATATCGATAAGCTCAACTTGCATTGGTTATCCACATTGGTGTTTCAACAAAATATACAAAAATATATTAGAAAACATACTAGCAATGAGTGCTCGAAGCTTGCGACAGCGTCCACAACGTAAGGAAACCATAGATGATAACAGCAGTACGGAAGCAGAAAGATCCAAGAGGAAAGTCAAGAAGAAAACTTGCTATAATGGCAAAAACAGCGCATATGATGAATATGGAAACATAAGATCCAATGGCTTAGATGTTTGCGATTGTATGAACGAGCAATGTAGTGGCTGTTGGTACGAGTGCCGCAATTGTGGGTCAACCAGATGCGGTCCACAGTGTCGCGTCAATCGCAAGTTCTTCTATGAAAATATTGTGTATGACGGCAAAGACCTCACAATATCGAACAAATACTGTTCTGGAAAAATGTAATTGTAAACTAATGATTGAACTCATACCATAAGCTGATAATGTATAAGTTAAATGATTAAATTAAAAAGGTACTATTATATATTGTAATAAATAATAAATATATTCAATGAAAACTTTATTAATTTCGATTGGCGATAGCTGAATATTAGCGTCGGTTGCAAGCTAAATGTGGCTGAAAATAAGCAAGCTTTCTATATAATATATAAAAATATTTGTAAATTTCAAAGGAGGCTTTTCATTAGCCATTTATTTACCGGTCAGGCAAAGATTTAAATATATTTCCTTCTAATTTACTCCCAAATCGATTATTGTCAGTCATTGCTACTTGATAGATCCGATAGTTTTAATTTTCCATACACATCCATCTCTAGCACCAAATTCGACGGGTGCTGAAAATTTAGTTGAATATTAAGTCTAATTATTAATTAAATATGACGGAGCTTCTAATAGATCCCGATATACGCGTGTGGGTTTTCTTGCCCATCGTACTAATCACATTTTTAGTTGGTATTGTGCGCCATTACGTGTCCATTCTGATATCCACGCAGAAAAAAGCAGAGATGACCCAAATCATGGACAGGTGAACAAGGTTCATTTATAAAGTAGAATTTTTCTGTATGAAACCCCATTCTTACAGCCAAGCCATGATTCGCGCTCGGCTGCTGCGCGAGAATGGAAAATATCTGAGTGCCCAGTCGTTCTCCATGAGAAAGAACTTTTTCAACAACGAGGAGACGGGATATTTCAAGACACAGAAGCGCGCGCCGGTCGCACAAAACTCATCGGCGATGCTGACTGACATGGTGAAGGGCAACTTTATAAATGTGCTGCCCATGGTCGTTATAGGTGGCTGGATCAATTGGATGTTCTCAGGCTTTGTGACCACCAAAGTGCCATTCCCTCTCACACTGCGTTTCAAGCCTATGCTGCAGCGCGGCGTAGAGTTGGCCTCCCTGGATGCCGCCTGGGTGTCGTCCGCCTCATGGTATTTCCTGAACGTCTTTGGCTTGCGTTCCATTTACACGCTTGTGCTCGGCGAGAACAACCATGCGGATCAGACACAAGCCCAGGCCGATGCAATGACCGGTGCAGCAATGACCATGCCCCAGGACCCAAAGGCGGCCTTCAAAGCTGAATGGGAGGCACTGGAGATCACGGAGTATCACAACGCGCTTAAAAACATCGATACGGAAATGTTGAGCATCGCCAACGAAGCCATCGCATCCTAGCTGCGCCCAAAGAAACCGAAAGTTCCGTATAACAAGCGTGAGAGTTTTTTTTTTTTAAGGTTTACCTATTAGTAAAATTTAGACGACGGATTCTAAACGAAGCAGTGAAGTTTGTTTTTGAGTCATGAGTCTTGCAATTAATAAACTATTATGTCTACGAATCGTACTTTAGTTGTTCCTCTTATGTGCCCAACAGTAGTTACCAAGTGTCCCATGCCACTCCTAAATCCATAGTGAATTCTTAATATATATATAAATTACACAAAATAAAGTAAATTGAGAGACGATCGTGAAATCAGGTAATTTAATAATGAATTTCCCTTGATATCTCAGTACAACGGACAAGAGAGTGAACTGCGGTCTAAAGAGAGGATCTGAGCAGTTCGGAAAATTGGAGGTTTGTTTCTCCTCGGAGCTGAATTTGGGGTGTATTTGGAATTCCGATTGTCATTTGAACGAATTGGAAGATCGAAAGCTGAACTGTTTTGTAAGCAGATCTGAAATTGGGCTATATCTATATCAGAAGATCGGGGGTTGGATTATATGATCCCTGATGCTGTTGCCAGATAAAGCTTCATGTCATCTTTCCTTAAATCAACCTTAACGAAATAAAACAAAAACGGAATATATATTCTTAATCGATTCTTGTATTCCTACGACTAGCTAATTTAGCTGTTACTCGGCCTTGGCCTGGGCCTCTCTCCAGTTGCGTGCACAATCTAAACATATAACTGAACATTTGAACATTAACAGCAGAAATATCTTAATAATAGGCTTCCTCGGTGGCATCGGTCTGTGCCGGCGGCTCCTCTGTTGGAGCCGCATCAGATTCCGCAGTTTCTGCCGGGGCCGGTTTGCCACTGTCGGAAGCGCCCATCTCCATTTCGGTCTCTGTCTCCACTGGTGCCGCCGACTCCTCTGTTTTGGCTGTTGCCGCCTCGGCACGGGCCGTATTCAAAGGCGATGGTGGACGAGCGGTGGGCGGTGCCTTGAATTGTTTCTCCTTCTTTAGATCCTTGGGCTTGCCCATCAGCCGGTAGTCATTGGGCAGCTCGGCTTCAGTGTAAAGCTTGTCAGTGAAGTAGACGCGTCGGATGCGCACGTTGGCGTGCACCTGCAGCGAGACAGTCTCCAAGTAGTTCGAGCCATAGGCGCGACGTGTAAAATCGGCCAAGTTGAATTGTATTTGATTCCAGCCAGGCGACATGCCCATGGGCATGGCTGTGCAGAATGGCTTCACAGATGTTTTGCTCTGAAAGTTCGATACACGGAAGCGGCGCATAAAGCGCTGATCGTCCTGAATCTACAAACGGGTCTCCAATCAGATCTAACCTTACATTGAATATAGCTCTGTAGCCTCACCTTAACTTCAAAGCAAAAATATTTGTGCATATTTTTTATGAGCAGCACCAGAAATGGCAGCTTAATACCCAGTTCTGCCTTGCAATCGCTGGGGCAATGTACAAATGTAGTCGAGACGTTCGATCCCATTATTTCCAGTACCAAAGATTTGATATCCTCATCGTAAACGCGTTTGATATAACCATTTTTTGTCTGCATATAGGATTCTTATAGATGTCTATTCGACAGCGCTTGCCGTATACTCACATATGTGGACCATTTGTCCAGCGGGGAGCTGCCCACGCTGTAAAGAACCGTCAGAAATCCCTTTTGATAGGACGAGCGATACATATTGAAATCTCTCGTGTAAGAATCAGTTACATATACTAAACTGAAACAGTACCTACTGTTTCTGTTTTTACTTTAAGGATATTGTGATTGAAAGCGTACAGCAAACTGAACTCAGATCTTAAATCTATGTAGAAGTCTAAATTACAAACAAATTGTAGCTGATCCAGTGGGCGAGTTCTCCCTTGTCAAAACAGGTGTGAGACAACTCTAGGATTAATTGTAGAACGGATTGTAGGTGATCCAGTGAGCGCGCTCCTGTTCCTTATCAGTTTTGTGGCTGGTGAACAGAGACTTGTACACATCGGTAGCCTTTGGATCCTTGGCTACGCTAAAATCTGTTTTAAGACGCTTCAATTCTGGGTCTTGCATAGCATTGACGGCGCCCAAGCGTTTGGGATTGGCCACAATTTTAAGCTTGTGGCTGGTGCTGCTGCTGGTGGTAGTGGGTTTCTCTACTCCTTTGGAAGTGGAGGCTGGCTCTTCTTTTGCTTCTGTCTTGACGCTTGTTTCCGTTTCCGTTTTCTTGGAGTTTTTCTTCTCCTTTTTGGCAGACTTGCGTTTGGCTTCACGCATTTCACTCTTGACTTTCATCAGCTCCAGATCCTCATCGTTGCCATTCAGCACAATCACGTCTTCTACACTGTAGGGCACCTGGCAAAGTGGACAAGAACTGGCCATGCTGCCTTTGATTTGTTTCAGGGCCCGCTCCGACATGACACAGCCGCAGGTCCACAGCGCCACGAAACGAAACTTGCCCGACATCTCCAGGCCGATTAGCTTGCATATATAGGGCGCATGCCGTGTGTCCAGCAGACCCTCGGTCTTGTCTTCATCCGTGAATGCAGGATTCGGAGTCAATTGCAGCGTCTTGATGTCCTTCAGACTGCGTATATGCGCCGAGCCCTCGGGCATTTTCTCCTTCTCCAGCAGGCGTTCGATGACACTCTGTTTAGAGTAGAGGCGTCCCATAGAGCACATCGCAATGGGCTCCTCTAAACGCTGCTGGGTCAACGCACAGTGCAGCCACCGAAACTCACGCTCAGCATCTTTGTCTTTCTGTAAGAGTATTTACTATTAGAAAGCGAATGGCTGGTATGAGACCAATTTCCTTACCTGTTCTGGCTTTTGCTTAACTCGCACAAGCTCATCTCGTTTTGGTATGGTACCGCCATCGCATCCCATGTTATATGATTATCAGATAAAATCTACAAATTTATTAATTCCTTCTATTTATTTTTTTTTCTCCCACTTCTGTTGTTTTTATTATGACTGTATGGTAAATTAGTGATGTTCAATTATCGATAGACTAATATTTGTTCGATAAGTTATATCGGTATCGCTATTGGGCTCTTGGCACGATAATTTCCCTGAAATAACAATTTCCCTAAAATTGAAATATCCCCGACATTTGGCGCCAATGTAAAAATTGAAATTAGCGTGGTTTGATTTCCTCTACATTTTATTGTTAATAACTAACTTACAATAACTTAACTATAAAATATTAGTAATTTCTATGAATCCACAAAAGGACAATGCTTTGCAAATGGTACATCAATGCAAATGCAGCCGCGTGCTCTAAAATTAAATAAGATATATGTGTTATATTGAGTAATCATAAAAGTTAGAAATAATTTAGCTTACTCGTCTGGCGCATCATTTCCTATTTTATATTCCCGCAGCAATGATACGAACTCAAAGGGGTTAACCTTACCGTTAACTGGCAAACGTCTAGGCCCAGATATATTGACACAGCCATTCGGGCAGGGCACGCCCATAAATTTGGAATGCTTCATGGTGGCTGAGGCCAGGTAGCAAATGCTCAGAAAATGTGAGCAGCGAGAGCGTCCTAAGTTTCGAAATGAAATGAAATAAAATGAAAGTAGTTAAATTAGTATATATTTATATAAATGTTGTTCTCACTAATCGGATTTCCCTTGCAGTAGGGCTGCACCCGGCCTCCGTTCACACAATAGTTGAGATGTCCCGTATTGTCCTCCTGGCCAAGGTAGCCGGCATTTGTGTGGAGCACCTGTATAACACTGGCATCATCGTGCGACAGTCGGAATCGATTGCTCTTCTTGCGCTCAATGAGTGGACGTGCTGGATCCAGCCCAATGATCCGGTACTGCTTTATCGTCAAGTGATTGCTGATCATGCCGCAGATGTGGGCGCCCAGTGAATGGCCCACACAGGTGATTTTCTCACGCTCGGCGCCATAGTGGGTGAGAAACGAATAGACCTGGGCGGTGCACTGCGCCGTCAAACGGGTGTTAATCAGCGAGTGCAGGTAGCACGGATAACGTGTCAGCGGACGCCAATCGACAGTTATCACATTGAATTCCCGCGACAGGTATGCTAAAGCCAAAGACAATGAGGCGTTTTAAAGGTCTTCAGTCGTCGATCGGCGCAACTATTCCATACTCACTAACCATCCCGCAAAAATTGCAGATGCATGTCAACCGCCGTCCCATTGAAGCCGTGCACTATGAACACCGTCTCGCGCTGCTTGCTGAAGCCGCCCTTGTACAGGGTCAACGGATTGTGGATGTTCAGCGGCAGCCCCATGCGCGGCCCATTACTGCAACCGAGAAGCGAAAACTGATTAAAATTATGCAAACGTGCCCAACTGATATTCATATCTAGGAAATGACGCAGCTAATCGCTTAGCAAACTTGTGTTACTTGAGCTATTTATGCATCAGTGATTCTGTGTGAGGCTAGCGATCGAATATGCTGTGACATAATGCAGATCGGAAGGGTAGCTCAAAAGACAATTGTTACATAATGTAAACAGGAATTTCGATGTGATTGCTTATATTTCTATAAAAGTGGAAATTATTTACCAATACTATAATAATATAATACAATACAAAAATAAAACAAGTAAGAAGACTCTAGTCGAGACTGCTCGACTAGGAGATACCCTGAACCCTCCAAGCTGATATTCTTATCAATCTGCACTTCTTTTATGCACGCACACATACATTTACATGCATCCACCCTCACGCG